ATGATAAAAATTTTGAGCACTTCTTGTTTAATAAAAATTCACCTTTTTGGTGAAAATTGTCCTTCTATAATGCTCACTAAAATGTGATAAATGCTACACAAAATATCACAAAATCTTCAGCTTTGAAAGACAAAAAAGAAATCTGAGCAAGCTGCTTCAACGCCACCTTGCCGTTATACTGCTCACTTAATACACAGCTCTCTCTCCAGCATGTACATACCTCATGGAACACATTCCCCGTGGAAAGAACAAAGCTATCATAATAGCAACATGGTCGTATGAATACACAGTATCTATAAAAAGCAACTGTTCTTAAAAGGACTGGTCAGTTAGATGGTTGAAACAAACACACCATTTGCTCTAATTCAGCACTCTGATCCAAACTGCTGACTCGTCAGCTGATACCAAAAGTTGGCCCATTAAACAATTCAGTCTCATGAAAAGCTGCTTATACCAGACGTTACTAACATTATTGTGAACATCATACCCATACACTACATAGCTTTACTACATCTTTACTTATTCAAAGGCATTATGCCACTTCTTCTCACAAGGAGCAGTATCTTGTTGATTAGACTAACTGGCATGAAGGTTTGCTGTGAATAAAACACCACTTGAGTCCAAGAAAAACTGACAGAATTAGGGTTAAAAAAATATTGCTTTAATTATGCCACCTGCTGCATGCCCCTTAAAAATAATGAAAATGGGTAAAAGCATTGCCTACAGTCTGATAGCATTCATTCAAAATCTACAAGGAACTTGTAGTGGGAAATATTTATTAAACTTAAATACAAAAGCTGAGGTTTGAATAAACACTAGTTTGTTTTTGTAAGATTTATATCCAGAGCTTCAACACTTCCAGTTCAAAGGCTGAAGTGAAAAACAAAACATTTACAAGTACTTCCCCACAAATACAGTTGCCTAAAATTCACTGATATAAAAGACCCACACTTCTGCTTTTCAGAATTTATCATGAGACAATAAAAATAGATAATAAAAGAACCTGAAAACAAAGACCAAAAAAAGCAATCCAATACAAGTTCCTGGACACAGAAAAGATGGTGTTCAAAAATGTTTGGTGGTGTTCGTTTTTTTAAAAAAATGAAGAAGAAATGTTGTATAAAACTGCCAAACACCTCTTGTGCCTGAAAAACAGCACCTTAGTCCTGAAGTGTATATAACAGAGTATATTTTGAATAACTTAATATTCAAGGTGACTATACAGCACCAGAACTAAGTCTAGTTTAAAGTTATTTGCAAAACTTGGAGGTCTGCAGTGGCAATTTTTTCTCGTCAATTCATGGAACATTACATCAATAACCAGCACAGATTGATCACAGAGCTGCAGGTCCACAGGACCAACAGTCAGAAATGGATCTAAAATTAGTAAGAAATAAGATCATAGAATTATAGAATAGTTTGGGTTGGAAAGGATCTTTAAAGGTCACCTAGGCCAACCTTCCCCTGCAGTGAGCAGGGACATCTTCAACTGGATCAGGTTGCTCAGAGCCCCATCCAACCAGGCTTTGAATGTTTCCAGGGATGGGGCTGCTATCACCTCTCTGGGCAACCTGTTCCAGTATTCCACCAACCTCATGAGGTTCACACTTCTCAAGTTTGTTGAGGTCCCCCTGTATGGCATCCCATCCCTCAGGCATGTCAACCACACCACTCCGCTTGGTGTTGTCTGCCAGCTTGCTGGAGGTGTACGCGATCCCACTATGTCACTTATGAAGATATTAAACAGTACTAGTCTCACTATGGACCCCTCAGGGACACCACTTGTCCAGATGGATATCAGTGACATCGAGTCATTAACCACTACCCTCTGGATGTGACCATCCAACCAATTCCTCATTCACCAAACAGTACACCCTTCAAATCCGTATCTCTCTAATTTAGAGAGGGGGATGTTGTGGGGGAATGTGTCAAAGGCCTTACAGAAGTCCACACAGATGACATCCATAGCTCTTCCCTTGTCCAGTGATGTAGTCACTCCATCACAGAAGGCCACTAGGTTGGTCAGGCAAGACTTGCCCTTGGTGCAGCCATGCTGGCTGTCTCGAATCCCCTCCCTGTCCTCCATGGGCCTTAGCATAGTTTCTAGGAGGATCTGTTCCGTGATCTTCCCAGGCACAGAGGTGAGGTGGACAGGTTGGTAGTTTCCAGGGTCCTCCTTTCTACCCTTTTAAAAAATGAGTGCAACTTTTCCTTTTTTCCAGTCACCAGAGACCTCACCTGACTGCCGTGACTTTTCAAATATCATGGAGGGTGGCTTGGCACCTCCATCAGCCAGTTCCCTCAGGACTCTGGGATGCATCTCGTCAGGTCCCATAGACTTATGTATATTCAGGTTCCTCAGGGGGGTGTGAACCTGATCTTCTCTTACAGTGGGAGGGACTTTGCTCCCCCCATCCCTGCCTTCTAGTTCATCAGCTCTTGAATTTCAAAGCAGATGTACTTCAACAGTAAAAAACAAAGCATAATTTACAGAATAGAAAACGCTGCCAAAATTACTTTTTTTTAGAAGCTCACATTGATGACTGAAGCATCTTATTTTCTTGGAAAGGTCTTCTATTTTCATTGGCAAAGAGTTTTTAAAACGTTTACGTCAAGGCAGAAAACTATGCCCACTCAAAAATTTCAAACCAGACCTAGTGCTAAATTAATTTTGCATTATTTATACATTCAGCTATCCATCTTATAGGAAAAGTTTCCTGTATCATTTATTTACATTATCTAAAAACATCAGCAAGTGTGTAAGACTAACTGCTATATCTGCATTACATGTATTTGTACATTTAAACAAATAAAGTAACTATGTATTGCTTTATCAAACAGTAAAGTATACTAGGAATAGGATAAAATATCACTGCAACTGAAAGCAAATATACCATTTGGCTACAAGAATTAGCTCCCAATTCTGCAGGTCTCACCTTACACATAGAAATAAGCAAGCTGATTAGTTGCAGGGATGTATAAGGACCGTTTTTTCTTCTTTTTCCCTTCTCCCTCCCACCTGAACGGCATTTCTGCTTCTCTAGTTTATGCTTTAACAGACATATACTTTAATAAACTTCTAAGTCTTGCCACTCGATACACTTGAGTATCAATTCATTCAGGCCCCACCTGGAGTACTGCATCCAATTCTGGAGCCCCCAACACAAGAGACACATGGACCAGTTAGAACAAGTCCAGAGGAGGCCACGAAGATCATCAGAGGGCTGGAGCACCCCTCCTATGAGGACAGACTGAGAGAGCTGGGGCTGTTCAACCTGGAAAAGAGAAGGCTCCAGGGAGATCTTATAGCGGCTTCCAATACCTGAAGGGGCCTACAAGAAAGCTGGGGAGGGACTTTTCACAATGGCAGGTAGTGATAGAACAAGGCGTAAATGGCTTTAAACTGGAAGAGGGTAGGTTTAGATTAGATATTAGGAAGAAATTCTTTGCTGTGAGGGTGGTCAGACACTGGAACAGGTTGCCCAGAGAAGCTGTGGATGCCCCCTCCCTGGAAGTGTTTAAGGCCAGGTTGGATGAGGCTTTGAGCAACCTGATCTAGTGGAAGGTGTCCTTACTGATGGCAGGGGGGTTGGAAAGTAGATGATCTTTAAGGTCCCTTCAAACCCAAACCATTCTATGATAATTCTTAGCACAGCACTGTCATTCTGCCCTGGCTCAGAAGTACATCACTCACTGGCTGCCAGCGCTGGCATGCTACGTACAGCTTACAAGGGTATATCAGTAAGTAAGAGTAATGGTATCATGCAGCAAATTAGTTTGGTGACCTCCAACTTCCAGAGTATCTCTCCTCTTTTACATTCAAAGTTGGGAGTATTATGAGAATATAGTAGCATTAGAGTTTGATAATTTATATTTTAGTTCTAGTGTATCAAACCTTTCTTTAAATAAAATTATGATTGTCAGCATTTACCACTAGAATCCCTTTCTAGATCCCATTAACACTAATTCCAAACAGAACAGAAGGCAATTATTTAGTACAAAAAGTTTCCATTATTTATCCCTGTCATGAATCATTTAAAGACTTCACGTCAGCAAAATGAAAACATTAATGTTGATCTCACAAAGAGTAGACAATATATTATGCATGCTTCCCACTGATTTATCCTTTCAGAATGTCTCTTGCAGTCTACTTACCAATACTGCCACTCATTGTCTAAAATCTAAATAGAAGTGCTTCTAAACTATATAAATAAATAATAATTGCCCATGGTTCAAATCAGCAGGCTATTAAAACCAGTATCCTATGTGACATCAACTGGTACCAGATGCTTCAGAGAGAGATATTCTTGAGTGAACTAGTCTGGAGCAGTACATCCATTATTGAAGAGTCTTCCTAAACTCCTTCTTAGGCTGGTTTATCGATGGAAGCATTTGGCTTTTGTCATGCTTAAAACAAAATCCCACCCCTCCTCCCCTTCACTATCTACATATATTGCCCATGCAAACAGTTATTCACGTTTTTAAAAAGCCTGCTTCATCTTCAACTGGAATAATTTTGCAGCAACAAGCATCACAACACTGCCTTTTTGGGAAGTTAAGGGCAAACTGCACATCACAACCTCCATGAGACACTGGAACAGGTTGTCCAGTCAAGTTGTGGATGCCCCATCATTGGAGGTGTTCAAGGTCAGGCTAGGCAGGGCTTTGAGCGACTAGTGAAAAATGTCCCTGCTCATGGCAGGGGGCATGGACTAGATGACCTTTAAAAGTCCCTTCCAACCCAAACCATTCTATGATTCTGAAGTCTTTGACTTGCCAGTCTACAACCACTAGCAAGGTTTGCCTACAGCACAGAGAGCAATTAATTTCTGAATATGAGACCTCTTCGGGTTTGGTTCTAGGACAAGTTCCTATTTCAAGAAGGCAACTTCATACGTACAAGCAACATCGACAAGTTCCACAGGATTATCCGTCTGTGAATTATTCATGAATAAGCACTTACAGAATGAGAATCTTAGCATTTACAAGAAGAATCATTTTTTACTTGCATTTCTTAACAAGTAATGTAAAAGACAAGATGAATTTTAATTTGTTCTAAGGGCAATTTTATTGCCACTATAACACCACTACTTAAATAACGGCCAGCTATTTTCCAGTGAATAGTGCAAATAATTACTTTGTTAGTCAATTATCAGGATTATGACTATTGCATTTTATGGTCCGAAAAACCTAAGAAAACCCCACCTAAACCAAAATCCAATTTAATCAAAACTCTCCAGGAGCAACAGCTTGTACTGTGCTATTTAACTGGCTTTATTCCAGTAGCTTAAAATTAAAGAGTCAGTTTTATGCAGAAATGCAGTAAGTGAAAACCGGGAAAAAGATCCCACACCTACAACTGTCACCTAAAATTAAACACATTATTCTCCAAATCCTAAGTGTACTTTCAAAAAGGTGCCATGTGATCATATTTAGCTACTGCACTGCCATTAAGAACATTTAATCTACAACAGATAAACAAAATTTCATTCAAACATGCTAAAAAAAAATTAAGAAAGGAGAAAACCAGGTTTAATTATCTACAAGTCTCTAAACAGTAATTATTTACTTCATTTCAAGACCACCCTATAACTTAGGAACATTTTCTTTTTGCTCCACTAAAATTTGCAACATAGGCAAAACCAAACTGCACATATTTTGATGGGGGAAAACCTTCACCTTAAAATAGACAGACTAGTGTTAGATAGAATAATTCTATGTGGAGAGATGTATGCTACTGGAATAGTACCAAAAAGCTGGCTTGTGCAAAACAGTAGGTGATCTTTACCATCACCAAGGAGATGGATTAAAAGGCTCCAATCCAGTTTAAAACCTGTATCATTTTACTGAGATACTTAGCAAACATGACAACAATATTTCATGCCTGTACCGATTTTTATTTTCTTCTAATAGAACTGGGTCAAATTTTTAAGTTGTTGTAACACATAAATGATAAAAAACCCAAAAAATACTTTTTTTTTTTAAAAAAGTAGTTACAAAGAAGTATATTCATAAAGTCCCATACCACTCCTCATTAAAAAGGTCCTGTGTCAAGCAAATTTACTTATTTCAGCAACTAGGATGAGGTATTAAGATTAGATAACTGGATTATATTCTTGAAAGTTTACTTATTTCACTTGTATTAACATAGTTACAGAAAGGGATTAACTGTTTTTGGCACATATAAAATAAACAGAATGCAAGAAAGTAAACAATAAAAATATACTTACAAAATCAAAGTCTCCATCTTGAGGGACTTTCCAGTTATCAGGGAAAACGTTTTTGGATATGTGGTAAGGCTCATGCATGTTCTGATTACAGTTTTCAGGGCTTTTATTCTTCGAATCTTGTTTATCAAAATAGTCCATGAAAGACGGTCTTTGAACTTGCGGTGAAGTAGCATTTCCTTCGTTGAAAGAAAAAGAAAAAAGTTTAAACTCTTTAGAAATTAAAGATTTACTGCACTATAAAATAAACTCCATTTACTAATTTTATTGCATTTTACAGAAACTAACACAGTCATCTGTGTCTGGTGCAAGCCTCCATTTGTCCCCCGAGGATCTTTGGCATAAAAGCTCATAGCCAAAGAATGATATTTTTGTAGCAAGCTACAATGTGGAGAAATGTTCAAGACATTTCAGAGTTGCACACACAAATAATATTAGAAGTTACTTCATGCAATATCTATTTGTTGTTATAGAGACTGAATAACACCAGGTGCTAAGCATCCCTTTGACTGCTGAATGCCTCTAACTTCAAGGCCTGGTCCACAAGCACTTGTAGGAAAGCAACAGAATTCCATCAGTTTCACCAAAAGTGGAATTTAAAAGTTATTTAGAAAAAGAATTTGAAAAAACCCAACAAACAAACAAAAAAACCAACCACACAAACTGTGTCTAGACACTGCTTAATGAAATTAATTGCCAATGAGGATTCTCAGCAAATTATGGGATCAGACTCTACAGATGTCTGCAAACTACCCTAACTCCATCGTGTGGAAACCCTGAGGGATTTCTGTTATCATCTATGCAGCTGCAAAAGTTCTACGAAGCAGACAGAATGGGAGTTCACACTCATCTCTATTATCCTTTTCATGAAACTAAATAAAAAAAATTATATATATCTACAACCATAAATGACTGAAATTTGTTTTCATTTGTGGTATTTCAAAGCAAGTTAATTACTAAATAGAACAATAAATAAAACATAAGAAATGCTTTAGTAGTTCTACGTAACTGTCACCTCAGAGACTACAGTTGGCATAGAACTGACTCAAGAAACATGTCCTTGCTTGCAGTGTCATACATTCTACACAGAGAAATATGAAATACATTTCCACATGTAAAATACAAAACAGGACAAGAAATATAGAACAAAAATGAAACAAAAACCCCCCAAACAACAACCAAAAAAGAAACCAACACACAGACAGAACTAAAATTTTTAATTATAAGCATAATAAAATTAGGAATTTTTATTTGAACCACTTGTTTTAACAAGTGAAAAAAAAAAACACTGTAAATATCTTTTGAGCTTGTGTTTAACACGATCACTAGGACTTGCTGATCTTCACACCTACCTTTACATTTGTTTTTACTGATTCACTAAGCAGTGGGGGTTTTTTGTTCCCCTCCTATTTCACCTCTTATTTCATCATCTCTTCCTGTGGTAATCCATTCCCTCTGTATCAAGATTTTTTTTAATTCATTCTAATTCTGCTGCATGGTTAAACGCGGCTTAGTTTTTTCATTAATGCTTATTTTTGTACTGCCATCCTTTATAGGATATTGACTTGTTCTTTTCTTTCTGCTTTTTCTACATCATTCTGTTCTAGTAAGATTTCTCCTGGCTTTTTGAATGTGGCATTCTACTGTCTTGCTTATGCTCTAGGCTTTACTGCACTTTGACTCCACCTGCTTCTCTTCAGCCCCACAATGATTCAGGCTGCCATGTTTCCATACATACCTTCTACACCCTACTTTTTTTTTTTAGCCTGTTTTTGTCTCAGTTGTTGCTATATTCTTTTCTACTCCCAGACCATAGTTATCTCTACTCACCATCTTTTAATTAATGACAACTACAACCATACAAAAACATTCAGTGAACCTAATTCCAGGCTGGACTTAGCAGACCACATAGCAGATACCTCTTCTCCAGAATCTCCCAAGTCTGCCCCCACTGAACTAAAGATCATTTGAATGAGTTTTCTGGGTCTCTTGAGTCTGGGACTGAGGAAAGGGTGAGAAGTAAACAGCAAGGATGCCAAATACCTACAGAAGCAAGCACTAAAAGGCAAAAATGGAAGAATCTAAACTTTAGCAAAGCAAAAATTTAGAAAACAGATCCAACAGAAGGTAGTAATATGAAGGGAGTGAAATTAAAAACGGATATACAATGCATTTTCTTAAGACAATCTTTTTACTACTTGCGTTCACTTCCCAAAAACCCTGAAACTATTTGTACCAAAGAGATGGGACACCACATTGCTGACCTTTCACAATCAATCAATTTTTTTCTTCTGCTGAGATAAGCTTCATTCTTGAGACATACTTATAAACGAGATTACCAGCGTCTCTGTTAGAAATGCTGAAGTAACAAAATGTTGGCCCACTACAGGTAAGATAGTCTCCTTCCTCTCATGTAACAGAAGACATTGAAGATGTGCCAAGCAATGCTCTTAAGTTCTAGAGCTATTTAGAAATATCTTCCTTATATGTGTAACAGAAGACTGCATACATACATAAAACAAACCAACCACTCCAAATTCCTTGCTATCAAATGCATATTCAGGAAAGTGGGTCAACAGGACTGAAATTACTCCAAAATGAGCAAAGCACATTTATTTTACACTTTAAGGACTTGTTCTACTTATTTTGATAAACAAGAATTTAGAACTCATTTCTGATTCCAATTTAATATACATTAGTTAACCCATTTAAAAGAAAGAGAGCTGCCTTCCTCACTGCAAATATAAAAAGTCACACAGAAAAACAGAACTATTATGCCTGCAAAACAATGGGACCACAGGTGTTTCAAGAGGGTCTTTTTCCCTTAATGTAAAAGAGAAAAAAAAAAAAGAAAATGAAGGATTTATTTACAGATTTCTTTTTAAGGTTTTATTTTATTTTTACAAATTATTAAATGGAAAAACAGAGTCTTTTTTAGATCTCTAGCTAACCTAACACAAACAAGTTTAGTTAGTATTTTATGGAAAATGGGACAGGTTGACACCTACTAGTTTAAAGGCCCTGTGAAGACTCCTACCTCTTTTGTACGGACTTTACAAATCACCCAGGCTCTTCAGCCAGAGTAAACTGATGTAGGTTGTCCTTCCTTGCAAAGTGTAAGGTTATTACAAGATCATTTCAGTCTGAAAGCACTTTTCCTAACTTCTATGAAGAACTAGAGTAATGGTATGTTGTGGACTGTCTTTCAAGTAACAAGAAATTTAAGAGTACAATACACAGATTTCTTTAAGGACACTAATTCACTCAACTATCCAGTAAATTACTTTTTACACAAGCTATATATTTGCACAAAAAATCTAATCTGCAGCACAGTCAGTATCACTCCCCACTTACACTGAAAACCTACTGTGCAACAGACTGTTCCATTCTAGGAGGATCTGGACAATCCAGTTCTTCCCACCTTTTCTTCTTCTTTTTTTTTTTTTTTTTCTCTTCGACAAGAGGCAATCATTGTTTAAAAATATTTGCCAGAGTTTCAAAGTTTAAGAACATCAGTTTCATTTAAGAACATCAGTTTCTTATCATCCCTAGACTTGCCCACTTCAAGATGGCTTTTGGAAGTGACAATAAAAAAGCAGTCTGAGAAATTGCTGACAAGCCACAGAACACAGAGACCACCACAGACACTGAGAACAGACATTCTACCTCTGCAATACTCCCGATAGGAAAATAACCAATGGGGATGTCCACAAATAGTTACATCAAATAATTTCTTCCAAAAAGTATGCTGGATCAAACTAAAGAGGCAATGACACAACACCAACTCTATTACACCGTTTCAAAAACATATCATAACTAAATAACTCTAAACATACATTTCAAAATAAGAAGGAATGCACTTCCATTCTAATGCATATTTTGATCAAATTCAGTTGATGTCATCTATAAAGAAAAAGGCTTTTGTATTGATGTATTTCAACAGAAAAGTATATGAACGTTAATTTAATTTTTATTCCATTAAAGTTCTGCTGTTAGTTGTTAAGTTTTTATACTCTACGTTGGGCTGAGCCACGTATACTTTCCTCCATGCTGGTCTGGTGAACTCAGGGCCAGTGTGCTGGCCAAAAACACTCTTGCCTTACTTTGTCAGGTGGAACCTCTCTCTCCACAGCAGTCTCTGATCCTCAAAGCGGGCCCCATGGTCGTCAAAGTCAAACCTCTGTCCACAACGCTAGAGGTACAACCAAGTGTTGATCCATAGGATCCATCCATTCCTCCAAGGCTTTCCCTTCACCGTCATGATCAAGAACATCCTCATAACAGTGAAGTTACTCTTGAGGTCGCTCTCAGGGTCTCCTCTGGCAGTATCACTAGCACATGCAGGAGACAATAGTCTAAGCACTGGACAAGCCCTGGCAGTCTTTCAATACTGTGGGGCTGGGCCCTGGGGCAAGAAAGAACTTTTCCTAGATAGCAAGTAAGGTTAAGAGATAAGGGTATCCATCTCCTACAGAAGGGAGTCTCCCACTACAATCACCTGGGAGGGGATAGGTGGTGGTGTTTTGTTTGGAGTTTTTTTACCATTTCCTATGGGAAGTCTCTTTCTCTTGCTCCATTACTACCAAGGTACTTGGACCTCTTCTGCAGCTGCAAATCTACAGAGGAAAGCTTTCTTCCTTTTGCCAAAAGCCACAAACTTCCACAGCCTTCCCCATCCTGGAGGATCTCAACCTGCCACTCAACTGAGAAACATTTCCAGATGCTGCCTCCTCGGTGAGGTTAGGGGGTCAGGTTCTCCTGTCTGCAGTGCTTCTGTGATGATCTTGTCAGTGTCTTTATTTCCCCTCAATATATTGCTTTGTCACCTTTAGAGTGAGAAGCTGTATTACAATCAGCTTTTAGTCTTCTTTGGACTAAACTCTACTGCTAAGGCTACAACAGCTTATAAAACAGCATGTACTACTTATGCTTTATATTTCACACATTTCTACTACTACTTTCTCACCACACAAGGTGGCCTGCAACACAGTGGCAGTAATTCTCCTGGGAAATGGGAGACAGGAGCTTTCAATAAAATACAGTTGAAAAAACCCAGGAATTTTGACTTCAATCTGCAGACAAGTGCACTTAGTAGTGAACTACCAAGTAGAAAGCTGCCACAGCCACTTCCTTCAGCCATATGTGAAGCAGAAATCGCGACTGTGTGAGTGAGTTTGTT